GTTATTTAGATTAAGACATTATTTAAAGAAAGAGGAAAGACATACCAACAATATCGCCCTAAATAATCTTCTGTGTTTAGGCTGTGTATTTCTTTATATTGTCCATTTAATCAACATTTTGCATGCAAATACAATGTCAGATGAATGATATGTATGAAACCCAACTCTCTTCCTTTAAAGGGATTTAAATCTCTTTCTACTTCTATGTTCCTTTTTATAGCTTGAGCCTTCAGCCTTGTTCGTTATTCAGCTATCAACATATCCTGGGTATTAAAAAGCTGCAATTTCTACCTCCACTAGTTTTCTTTTCTTAGAAAATGTACTATATATTCCCCCTTTTATTCTATAGCTGTGGAGGATGTACTAGCGTTCCAAAACTTTGGAAAAGTTTTTGCATTCCAAAAATTCTGTGTTCTGTTGCCCTGCTCCCTTTTTTTTTTTTTTTGGGTGCCTGCAGATCTTTTGCTCCCCAGCATCCTTTTCCTGCCCTCCTCATTCACAAAGCCATAGTAAATCTACTTACCTCCCTTTAAACCCCAGCAGCTTGAGACCTATAATCTTTGAACTCCATTTCCATTTTAATTAATAAAAGAGCTTCAGTTTTGATAACTACATATTATTTAAAAAGGAAGAAAATAGATTATGTTTTATCCATCTCTAGTTATCAGCTGGAGGAAAAGAGACAAACTCGCTTCTTAAAATCTGCAGGAGCACAATCTGAAGCACACTTGTGCAGGTTTAAGCCCATTGAAACCAATGGGCTTAGGCATGCTTAGCTTAGTGTAGGACTGAGGTCCACCACATTAGCATTTCCCCTTGTTCACCCATCTGGAGCAATTACTGGGGATTATTTTTTCAAGCAGGAGTGTTGACATTTTTCCCTAGTTGGGTGTCAAGTATACACATGAAGTAAGTAATAGCTGGGCTTCAGCTGTCTAATGAAAGGAATGCCCTGAGGTTAATGAGGTGCTGGAAAACAGCAGAACTAAATCCAATATTACCATTTTCCAGCTTTCAGGTCTAATTAGAAATCCCAGTCACCTGTGCATACACAAGACAGTTCGGTTTGCAGCCTGTCGGCAACCCAGCCCCTTGCACTCATGGGAGGTGGGAGGGGGAAGGCACTGTTGGATAGGGTTAGATAGCCCTCTAGCTTGCTCTACTACTTCCTCCTGCTGTGTCTGAGTTCTGTTCTGGTATGATGCCAGCCCTCCACAAACACAGTCTGAAGTGGTATGGAATAGCTGTGATGCCAAAGGGGTTTCTGGTCTTTCTCCTTTCCCCTTTTTCCTGCTACAAAGGAAAAGCCCTCACACTTCATCTTTATAGGTATATCTAAGTGTGGGTGTGTGTTAGCAAAAGTCCAAGCTTAGACCTTTACAACTTTGGTGGCTGTTGTGTTCTCACACTTACTTAAATCCATCTTTTTAACAATTATCCATCAAAATGAAGCTGTTCTGGGTCCAGCATAGTAGTAGATATGGACTAACCCTACATTTTCATTTAAATGTTCAGCTGTTGGACCTTACATGAAGAGTAGATCCCTGGTACATAAAGAATGCTAATATAACACTTGTTTTGATAACAAAAAGTACATTGCAGAAGATGAATGACATGAGAGCAAGTGGAAGCATGTGGGTAGTTCTAAACTTGGAGTATGTTAATGGAAGAGGACATTCTACTCCCCTTGCAGAATTGAATATAGTAATTAGATATTTTTCCCTGCTTGGAATTTCAGAAATGTGTTTAAAGTCTATATATGTGTCTCAGCAGATGGCAGCACTGGGCTGATCTTTGGGCTTGGAAGCTAAGCAAAATATGCCTTGGCTAATGGGAGACTACCAGGGAATTCCAGGACTGTAGATTAGATTGGGAAGTTGAGCAAAAAGATCCCAGAAGAAGGTAGTGGTAAACTACCATATTGTTGCTAAGAGAAGTGCATGGATGGGATTTGGGAATTTTACTTTTAAGCCCATTTGGCACCTTCAAAAAATGGAACCATGGAGAGGTGATGGAGAATTCCTGAAGCACAGGGGAAGTGCTAAAAAAATGGAGAAGAGCTATATGTTGTTCCAGTCTTCGAAAAAGGGAAAAAAAAGATACAGGAAACTACTGGTCAGCTTGACATCAATATCAGGGAAAATCTTGAAAAGACTATCAAGCAATGGGTTTGTAATCACCGAGAAAGGAACAAGGTACAGTAATTGTTAGAGGTTGGCATGGTTTTTCAAAAATCAGGTCATGCCAGGCAAATTTTACTGCCTTTTTTTTTTTTTTTTTTGACAAAGTGACTAGATTATAGACCAAAAATGCTGTGGATGTAGTGTACTATAGACTTCAGTAAGGCATTTGATAAAGTTGACCACAGATCTTCTTGATAAATTGGAACAATGTGGAATGGATGGTCCCACTACCAGAATGATTCACATCTGGTTAAACTACTGTACCTAAAGCATGTTCCTTAATGGATCTATGTTTACATGAAAGGAGGCAAGCAGTGGGGTACCTCAGTACCTAGTGCTCTTCAACATTTTTATAATTGACTTAGATGAGGGGATATAAGTGGGGGTGGAGGGACATCTTACCACCTCAGAGTATAGGCTAAAGATTCAAAAGGACCTTGATAGATTTGAACATCGGCCCTATCAAATAATATACAACAATGCAACCTGTCCATATCAATGAAGAAAAAAACCTGATGGCTTTAATAGGATGCCATGTAGTTCGCTAGCAAGAGATAGTGTGACTTTTGTTTAGTCAGCTTTTTGCTTTATTCTATGGTTGGAGAGGAATGAATGAGGTAATTTGGATCATAGACTGAAGAAAGTTTGGAAGGAGTTAGAACAGGTTACAAATAAAATAAATATGAGAGATTATTATTGGAAGTTGTTTTACATCTAGTCAGTCACTGAGACCTGCTGGATCTGTTGGAGATGCTACCTTCCCCAGATTGCTGCTATGGTTGGATTGGAACAAAGACTAGAAAATACAATTCTAGAACTTGTAAAAGGCATTTTAAAATAAGTGCTCATGCTTGTTGCCCCTAAGCTGGTTAATTTCTAAGATCCTTTATGTTTGACTAGAGATTTCCTGCTCAGAGATCTAAGCTTGCCTGGATCAAGAATTAAGCAATATGCTTTAATCTCCCTTTCAATATGTGCTCTCCTCCACAATCCATGCATTTATGTACATATATTTATTAATATAGGTCTGGTGGTTTGCAAAACAAAAATCCCATATTAGAGAGTGATCTATGGCTAGGGGATGATGTCGGGTGTTGTAAAAATGTAAATGAACATTCCTGACCATGACAATATGCTAATAAAGCTTTTTTCCAAAGCACTTTGGAGGCTCTGCAGTACTTATGGCATGGTATCAAATCTTCATGGAGAAGCTGTTCAAAGTGGTTGCTAACTTTATAATATTACTCAAAACTTTGAGTTTCAGAATGTCTTTTGAAGTGTGTGTGTATATAGAATGAAGGAAGATCTCATGTAAACAATATATAGCAACAACAGGACACTAAAAACTCTAAAAATAAGACACTAAACTCTACAAGGAGTGATTTGCAGATGACCTCGGCTTATGAAAAAATGCTGAAGCTGATCATAAGACATAGGAAAGGAAGGAGCGTAAAGAGACATTCCCTCCATGGAAAAGGGATCTCTGCCATGGACTGCAGAAGGACAGCTGAGTTTCCAGTGCAGATAGTAAAAGTTGCAGATTTCAAAGGAAAACTGGCTTTTCATTGCAAAATTGCCAAGGGAGAGAGAAGTATATATCACCTTATATATCATGGCATGACTTCTGGGCCATGAAAACTGCAATAGAAGGAGAATGTTCAACTGGCAGAATAAACGGGTTACAGGGTGGGGGGACATGTTTCACGTCTAGCAGTTGTTTTCAACAAAAGTGCATTTCTTTTTCTGTTGGGTTTTATTGTAGTTTTATGTATTGTTTATTCAGTGGTGTCTGCAGGGGAGCAAGAGGACTAGACTGCTATCAGCAGTAATTGCAGATGATGTCTTTTTCTACATGCATCATGATATTGCACGCATGCCCCAAAGGGTCAGAACTTCTGGTACAACATTGCAATGCCATTTCTCCCTTTTTGACAAAAGCAGCAAGCTCCTGTGGATGACACTGCATTTATGTTCTAGTATTTTGTGCAAGTGTTTGTCAAGACTACAGAAACAAGTACGCAAAGCAAACAAAGTGTTTCAACCACCAAGATGCACAACCATCTTGAGAAACGTATACATTTTGTGTATAATTCTGTGCACATTTAAAACAGGAAACTATCTTCTTGAGCTGAGGTTGACCTTTGGTGACTACATGGGCGAATCTGTGCAGTTTTCTTGGCAACAATATAAAAGTGGTTTATTGTTGCTTTCTTCCAGGATGATCTGATTTAATCTGATCTGATCTGATCTTCAGGCTCATTCTGATGACCACCTCAGACACCAGAGGGATCATGATAGATTCTGATGGGTGCTAGGGAAATTTCCCTGCAATATGGTGAGCAGTTCTGTTGAGTGTCAAAGGGAAGTAACTGAGATTCACCCAGGCTTTGTCTCTGCATACCACAGTGTGAGATGGTGATTTGGGCAACACCTGGCCATATAATCCAGCACTTCTTTTGGCCTCTAGATTCTAATGATTCTTGAGCTCTGATAGCCTGGGTAGGTTGTTTGAAACCTTCTGCAATGCTATCATTACATGATCCCATCTCTGTCCTCAATGCAACAAATTTTGAATCTTGAGGAAATTATGTTTTCTTGCAGAGAATTGATTTGGGATTTTAGTTAGGAAATGGGCTGTAGGTATTCAAAGAGCTGCAGTGCCAGACTTGAAACAGCCAGTTCATTGCTAACAGAATGTTCCACAGCCATATCCTCTTCCTATCCATGTTTGTCCTACTTATATGGCTCCCATGGGGGTAGATTGGAATAAAACAGGCACATTTTTAAGTTCTAAATTTTCTTTAGTTAAAAGCACAATACACAAACCAATACAATCAAAGCAAACAGAGTTCTATGCAAGTAGTCTAATGTAATCCAGGACAATGAACCAGTAGGCCCTCTTTATCCAATGAGAAACATGTTGTCGTCTCTTGCAACTTACATTCAACCTGCTGGGCACTTCAGGACTTTTCTGCAGATATTAGTTTCAAGCACAGGGCAATGCAGGAATTAGCAATGTATATCTTTCAGCTTGAAGATTCTGAACTGTATGCAAGGTGGTAGGAGCCTATAATAATTTTCATTCAGTTCTCCAGTATTCATTTCCCAACTCTTGCCCTCCTATCTTCCTTTTGAATGACTGTTGTGCACATAATATCTGCATTACCTTTATAACAGTAGTATAATTACACTTACTGGCTTATTCTTTCAAAGTCATGGACATTCATGGAATTAAACCAGTTTAAGAAATCTATACAGTACCTCTGATCTGCATATTAATAAAGGGTCGCACATATCATGTTTTTGCCCACCTGGTAAAATCCAGCAGAGTTTGTGCACTTAAAGTCCCTTCTGTTAAACAGCGTTATCTGTCAGGGCCTTGGAGGCACCTGCGCTCTGGAATAGTATTCCCCCAAAGATCCATATGGCTCCGACACTGATGTTATACATGGCTATTTTCCCAGGCCTTGGGACAAAGTAGTGGGTGAGCCACTGTAAGATTTTGTTTTGTATAATTTTGTTCTGTTGTATTCAATCTATCTGAATGCATATCATCTGATTCTCTTTTATTGTTCTGCTTTAATTATGTCAAGTGCCCAGAGTCACCTGGAGTAGAGCATTTTTGAAATCAGTGTAAATAAATAAATCTCACATGGAAAAAGAGCAATGAGAGTCAGTTGACTTTTGCTTACTCTGGCGTATAGTTAGGGAATCTGCTCATTCAACCACATAGCAATTTTATCATCAGGCTATGTTGCATGAGACCTGGGTAGGACAATGTGGTGGAATGTAAATACAGACAAACATTAGATTCTGTTATAATTCTACTTATCTCTGCTGTTCCAAACAAAACCAAACAAAATGAAACAAAACCTGTTTTGTGACATGTTGCATTGCTGCAGTTCCAGCCCAGATTGGCCTAAGTCAGCAGTAGGCAACTGAGAGATCATATGGTCCATAGATTGTGAAATGGCTGGCGGGAGAAATTACAACATTCTAGACCCAAAAGTCAAGTTGTAACAATATTAAGCTGATGACTGCTTTTAATCAGAGGCAGTGTTCCCATGGCTTATATGGCTGGTGGGATTTGTGTCTATCAGATCTCTGGCTTGGTGGGAAACCACTGGCTGTACTGGAAAACCTCACATCAACACAGGGAAACCAATGCATGACCCAAACTTTTAAGCCATGAAATTTAGGCACACAGTTAAACATTTAAAGAGCACTGATTTCAGTCTCACTGACTTGTATAATTTTCAGTTTGATTGTAATAAGCTCATGTGATTTAAACCACTTGGGGGTGGGGAATTCTATATTCTACACCAATGATTGTCTATAGTTAAAATGGAACAGTTTAAAGTGAATGCACTTTTACATAATAAATAAATATACATATTTCATACATCAAAAATAAGAACCAAAGCAATATTACTAAAAGATAAAAATACTAGCTTTTCTTTCTCCTTGGCACATGGTCTATTTGTTTTAAATGGTAGGATAGTTTAAGTATGTTTGATTATGCTTCTGTGTGATACACAAGTATTCTTAGAACCTGTCTTATATAACTTTGAAACAGACCATATGTTCTAAATATGTGCTTTCAAAATGGGAAGCTTTGTTATAGGGTGTACATGGCTACGGGAACTATAACCTAAGATAAATGCTTTTCTAGGGCTGTTAATTGATTCATTTTGTAAATAATGCTGTGGTATGCCACTATATTGTTGGGGCTACGTGGACATTTTAGAGATTCAGTGCATGTTTTTCATCTCATGTACTTTGTGTCCCATCTTTTTTTATTTCCAGTGTGAGAAAGAATCAAAGGGGACAAAGGGGAAAGGTTACTGGCTACTTAATTTTAAAGGACAACTTTTCTGAGCGGGGGGAGCAATCTAATCAGGTGACACTGGCAGAGGAAGGAAAAGAATTGCCTTCTGGCCATAATGAGTCCGCGGTCCCAGTTTGCTTTTTCCATTCTTCTTCAAGCCAACAAACCAGTTCTTATCTGCGTGCATCTTTGACGTGTAAGTATTGTAATGGTTTTCTTCCATCCTTTCCAGGAACAAACACTCTGCTGCTGGCAACTGCTGAAGAAAAAGAGTGTGGGAGCATTCAGATTGGGAAGCAAATACAATGACCGAAAGCCTTCTTGGCACTGAAGGACCATCATGATTGTGATTGGATTGTGGAAGAGTTTGACTCTTGCTGGTCCAACTTTAGAAGGTGGGCAAGTCTGAGTATCTGCTTCCTCCCCTTTGGGCAGGTGAAATTAACTCTTTTGCTCCAGATCCTCACTGCTTAGCCAGGTACTTTCCATTTCTCTTGCAAGGCTATTAGTAAGTCTTCCCATCAAACCAGATCAAATTAAATCAAATATTTATTATGGTCATAGACCAGCATAACCCATCAAACCAGATTACTGGATGATGCTTATTTATTCTAGATTTAAATATGTCTCAGTTCCTCCTAATGGTTTCAACTTATCTGGAGGAACACTGCCTCTCTCTAATAGCTAACGTGTTTAGGAATGTTGTTTTCCAATTCTTTTATTTCTTTTTCCAGAAATAAAGGCGAGCCAAAAAGCAGCAACCCAGCAGCAAAAACAAGTGACATTTAATCGTGCATATGTGGGTGATAGTATTCCAAGCTGTCATGCTACAAGCTACAAGATCTTTGCCATCCTCAAAGCTTCCCTGTAGCTAATGTCATGGGAACTTTATACTTACTGAGCCATATAAGCATCCATTGGCATCCATAGCCAAGTATCGTCCAGATTCAGTGCTCTTTATATATACCTCGCCCAAATTTTCTGTGCTGAATAGTAATTGAACTACAGTTGGAAAGAAAAAAATAGAAAGGATTATGGGCCACAGTTAATATATACTATTGTTGAAGCTGAGCAGTGATGGCTTAGTAAATTGCTAGGAATGTTAATAAATTGATGTTATTCCATGTACTACTTAATTGCATAAGAATGTGTGCACCAGGAATGGTTCAGCATGATTGGGCTGAAAAATGAAGGGTTGAGGACCTTGTGCAGATCAGGGACCTCAACTTGCCCAGCCCAGTTTGTGAAGGCTCTCCATGGTTTTCAACAGAACCAAGGCTATCCTGAATCCCTTCCTAGTTCTATACAAATGTCATTGCATTAGCTTAATGGGTTGTGGAAAGTAAGGACACCACCCAAGTTTATTTACACAGTCAGCACCAAGAAGTGTACTCTGTAACTAGGGTTATTCTACTAGCACATAACTGTTTAAGGAGTTTCCTCTGTAAATATTTTTTCATCAGGATGTCCAAGTTTAATAGCTCATTTACATAAATTCATTTCTGGCATTAGTTAGCAAACATACATCTTTTAGGATGTGTTGGCTCCAAACAATGTATTTCCAGGGGAAAAAAGAGAATATTCTAGGGCAAGAGTGATGTC